TATGCAGGGGTTCGGACTCAATGATCTATTGAGGTCCCTTCCGACCCTAACATCTATGAATCTATGAAAATCTTGATGGTGACCATAGCTCTGCTTTCAGGCTACCAGGTTCAGATTCCAAGGATGTGCCCCCGGGTTCTGACGATGCCTGTTCCTCAGGCAGACTTAAGCGATAAACCTTCAGGGTCATGCTTACATAGGCTTTGGAGCTTTAATCTGCCTTCTGGTAAAACTAAATCAATTCATGTATTGATTCAAATCAATAAAGCTCATGCCCCACTCCAGATCAACACCAATTAATTTAACTCCAATGTCTCCTGAGCTAACCAGGCCATGATTACATCACGGGGTTCTTCTACTTTTTCAATAACCAATTAACAGAATAAAGAAAAGCAAACATCTACCCATTCCCCTCACTCAATCAATTCTCCAACATTCCCTCAGTTGGGGGTCTTTAAGTCCATACCCCTCTTATGAGTCACAGACTCTTAGCAAAATACAATTAATGCTTAAAGAAAAACAAAAAAGACAGGGTCTTTGCCACACCCAGGTCTCCAGGCTCCTGTGGATGCCAGACTCAGAGTCTAAACTACATTCTTTAGAAGAAAAGATATGGTTCCTAACCTCAAGGAAGATCTGGATCCCAGGTGGACAAGTGAAGCTGCCTGCCAGTTCTTAGCATTCCCTGTTGGCTAGCTCTACACATTCTTCAGATGATTCTTCTGGTGCTACCTAACTCTCCCCTGGACTGTAAATGGAGCATCGGCACCTACCACAGAGCTACACATGCCACTCTGGGGAATAGTGATCCAGAGGCTAATCTGCACTATCCCCTAAGTTTACATTCATCTTAGATGAAGCCCTAAACAAGTAAGTGAATAAGAGACTCACTGGTTGTTTACTGATGTCTAGTGTCCCATCCCTGCGGTTGACAGAGGTCAAACTGCTGCTCAGCAGAAAAAAAGGGGGAAGGAAAGGCAGCACTGGAAAATTATGTGTGTGCTATCAATCAGGATTTATTTCCTTTTCAAGTACTAATCTTACTGACCAGCAGAGGAAAGGATAAATGAACTCTTCAAAATCCTTCCCATCTCAGTTATCCTTAAATGAACAGACTTACCCAAAATGAAATAGAAACCACAAAATATTTGCTTCAATTGCAAAATGTTAAACCCACAAAACTTAGCTGGATTTAAAAATTTGCTACCACCAATCTGTGATCCCTAATCTTCAGGTTTCTCTGACAAGACTTGAAATAAAATAACATAATACACTGTAGCAGTACAGAAAGCAAACAATTTTTATTTGAAATACATCACAGCAAATCAAATAAATACAAATCACTTATAAATAAAAATGAGATGGTACTGCTATTTCTAGTGAAAATTCATCTGACTAACAAAAATGAAAGCTAGAGCTGGTTCAGCTCCCACACTAAATGCCAAGGGAGATTTTTACATCTGGTTCCATAGAAATTGAAACAGAGCCCTGGATGGTAATTCTTCACTCCCAAAGTACAAGGGTGTTTCAGATACTAACAGCATTTGTAAATAAAACCATTTTGTGTGCAATGATCATTTACTGGACCACATCACTTCTCTGCATAGTTGTAAAAAAGCGCATGTTCAACACTGCCATCAGCATTCCCTACTGCTATGTAGTTTCCTAGTCATTGCACTCAAATTGGTTTTATTTTGAAATTGCCATTAGTTTCTAAAACACTGTCATATTTTCTGTCTGTATATTAGACTTACCAACAACGTCTGTTGGTTTGAACATAAGTTTGGAAATAGCATAACAGAAAGTGTCTGTAAAAGGCCAGGTTTTTATTTCCAATGAGAGTTTCTATTTTGTCATTTTTGTAGGAAGTGTGTGTCAAATATGACAGGTTAATTTGTGTCCATTCCATTAAATATAAGGACAAGAAAAGCAATTTCAACTATTTGGTGCTCTCTCAATCTTTGTCCTTATTTTTTTTTCATAATCTAGCTCCAAAACAATAAATAATTAAAGCCCTTTATCAAGCCACCTGAACTGCTACTTGATTGTTTCCTTACTATACATTTAAAAAGAGTTTTTTTAAAGAATGTTCTGTTTATGGGAAAGTAATTTTATGAGTGAGTTTCTGCTTCTATAATGGTTAGAGAATGGAGGTAAAGGTAACATTAAATAGCATTTCTCTTTAGTGAACATAAAACAAGAGCTTGTTCTCTGCCTGGAATAAAAATTCAATATGTTTAGAAAATATGATTGTGACTTATTGATTATTGCATTTTCTCTGTTTATGAGGAAAAATAAAGGAAATGAAATCCCAAACAAGTCTAGATAATGAATGATAGGCACAGTTTCACCATGGGGGCACCTCATAAAGTTTTCATTAAATACCTATAAATTGCTTGCATCTGTTTTTTGCTCCTTGGGACATGTATGGTTTGGATAGAGTGAAGATGGTATTTGCTGTCATTTAGAAGCTATAATTTTCCAAACTGAAATATCTTCATTTAATGCAACATGAACTATGTCCTCTGGGGCCACTTTAAACAGATGTTCAAACTGCTTTAGATCTTTTCCATGCTAATTCATTCCGATTTTTGGTGCAAGGATTTCTTATTAAAAACTGCCTTAGTGCTTAGTCATTATTATTACTATTGTTCTAAAATTGATGTCCCTACTGATTTTAACAAAGGCTTTGTACATCTGCTAATTCTTTTTTTCACAGTGCTCTGAGTTCTTTATGATTTCTTTATGCACGTTGCTGACCAGCTTTTCAAGGTTAAAGTTAAAAAAAAACAGAGTCAAGAAAGAGCAAAGTAAATGGATGCAATAAAGCCCTAAACATGTGTTTGTATGTCTGAAATTTTAATGTGAAAAAATACAATCAGTTTTTAAATTTATTAAATTAAATGTATTTTCTGAGAGTGACTATATGTTATGTGTCTGCTTACCTTAGGCATTATGAAAATATAGCTCCTTACTCAGTGGTCATAACAGATATGCAGATTCAGCACATACAGTATTTATTACCTGTCAGCTTACCTAAGAGTTTTCTGTAGAGTCTGTAACAGTATCACTAAACATTTGCAGAGTTGTAAATAGCCAGTACCATTTACACCATTTGTGGTACGTTGTTAGTACCATCTCCCCCGACATGCACACTCCGCATCTTCCCTGCCATGACTCTGGCTTCAGCTCCGGCTCCACCAGTAGGGAGGAAAAAGTGGTGGTGGCAGTGGAACAACCAGCATTTCACTGCTGCTAGGGCAGATGCCACACCTCTCTTTTTTTTCCTTTTTTTTTTTTGTTGAGCAGCCAACAATAGTTCTTGTAGACAAAAAGAGGAGCTGACATCTGCCTCAGCAGCAACAAACTACCAGCTGCTACTCCTGCAGCACACACTACTACCACTTCTTTGCCCTCCCCACTTCTGGAGCTGGAGCCACTGCAAAGAATGTGCATGGTGCAATGAGGGGAGGAAGGAGGGACTAGGGATGGGAGGGTGAGGTTCCCCCCACACAACTCTATTCTGGCATCCCTTCCCCTTGGGCAGTGCCCAGGACTTGCATTTTGCTTGTCCACCCATTGTTATGCTACTGCTTGCTTGCCATAAACTTAGGTCTGTGCACTAAGATCCTTCATGGAGTTGATTAAGTCTTATGCACTCCTCCCTTCCCTAGTTTTAGAACATTTTCCTTGGAGTACGTAATATATATAGTATATAAGATATAAAGTAACTCTTCTCATGGAAAACTTTATCGTATAAAGACAAAAGAATCAGTATGTTAGTCCCAGTTCCACAGGAATGTCATTAGACAGCCAAACCACTTCATATGAAAATACTCTCTGTAATGGCCTCATGCTTCAATCCATTCTGCACTTTGATAGCTGTGTTGTCCCAGAGGAACGTGATTGTCTTGGGATCTCAGAGATGGATGTGAAGTCTGTGATGAAACTGTGCTGTGGGCCACTGGTCCCTTTTACATAGCAATGGAAATTTCTGCAAAAATGTTCTTTACAAGGAGCCAGGGTATCTCAGCACCCTGCCCCAGTAAGGATGTGGGCTGACCTGGTTCATTCTGGATCAACTGAAGCCTCTACATGGTTTCAGCTTCCAGCCCTAGATACAGCACTTTGAAATACAGAAGACCCTCACCATTTGTGGGGGATACAGTCTCATATCCCCTGAAAATGGCAATATCTGCGAATAAGGCACTGTGTTAATGAATGCCGTCTATGTTCATTAAAGCAGCAC